GATCCATGTTTGTAAAAAACTTTAAATCTAAATGTACGCAAAAAAATCAAGTTTTGATTTAAATAATTTTGCCTTTATTATCTTACCCTTATTTACGCCCTTAATTATAATACTTTAAAAATTTTAAGTTAGTAGGAATCTATAAGCTTTCAAGGTTTAAGAAATAATTATTTTATACATCTTAAATATTTTACTCAAAACTGATGATTAGTAACTAAAATTATATTTATAAATAAAATACCCTTAAATTTCTTTAGTATTAAAAAAGTATTTNTTAAATAAATTTACATTTTATTACTTAAATCAGACATAGCACTCTAATTTTTATAATTAATTTTAGTATTAATATATTAAATTTACTATAAATATATAATGAACAAATGATTATATTTAACAAATCATAAAAATATTGGAATTTTCTACTTTATATTTGCCATATGAGCTGGTATGATCAAGTCATTAATGAGAATAATTATTCGAATTAAACTTAAATCACGCGGAGCAATCATTAACAATGATCACCTTTATAATTTTATTGTACCAGAACACGCATTTACTATAATTTTTTTCATAAGTGTGCCAGTTATAATTAAACGATATTTTAATTTTCTTGCCTTTTTAACAATTGGGTTAGCAGACATAGCTTATTCACGAATTAATAACATAGGATTTTGACTTCCATTACCGGTTATTATACTTCTTACTTTAAAAAGATTTAGTAGCTCCACTGTTGGAACTGGTTAAACAGTATACCCTCTTCTCTTTTCAAATATAAAAGTCCACAGAGGTTTGTCAGTAGATTTAACAATATTTCTCTACATATTGCAAGAATTGCTTCAATTATGGTAGTTATTACTTTATCTCTACAATTATTAATATAACTCATAAACACTTTTCTGTAGACAAAACTCCTTTAATAGTCTGATTTATCTTACTTACAGCTATTCTGCTTGTTTTATCACTACCTGTGCTAGCTGGTGCAATCACCATGCTCTCAACAGATCAATAATTACGTACCTCATTTTTTGACTTCTCAGGAAAAGTACACTTAATCCTATACCACCACTTATTCTGAATTTTTGTATATCTAGAAGTTTATATTTTAATCTTACTAGGATTTGGAATAATCTGTCATATTATTATAAGTAAAGAAAGTAACAAAAAAACATTCGGATTTTTAGGAATACTTTATGCAATAATAGCAATTAGATTTCTAGGATTTATTGTATGAACCCATTATATATTTTCAGTAGAAACAGATGTTGACGAGCTTATTTCACCTCAGCAACAATAATCATTGCTGTTTTCACAGAAATTAAAATCTTTAAATAAGTAACTATCTTGCACAAAAATAAAATAAATATATTAAGAGGGTATTTGGCATCTCTCATCTACGAGATGCAAATATAGCACCCTATATAAATTTTAGAATTGTTATTACAAGTCAAATTTCACGTCTAAAAATTTACAAGTGAACACGTATATATGAATATATGTACACGTATAATCTCCGCACAATACCTAGCGAACGGCTCTTAAGACCGAATATATATTTAGTAATAGTTTGGAAACTTCGAAGCCTTAAAAAAGTTTTTAATTGTTTAAAATAAATATAACTCCCACTCTTTTATGATCTTTGTAATTATATTTGTAATTATATTTACCATAAGATGATTACCTGGTTTTATACTATCAAACTCATCACTTGATATTGTATTACATGATACATACTACCTTGTAATCCGTTTCCATTATGTCCTATCTATAGGAGCTGTATTCTCAATTATTTCAGGATTCATTCACTGATTCCCTCTTATTACTGGTTACGCTCTCAATAATGTTTGAATAAATATTTAAGTTTTACCAATATTTACTGTTGTAAACATAACC